AAAAAGGCAAACGCCATAGGTTTCAGTGTTAAAGTAAACCAGATCGTCCCTACTCTTTCTTGCCGACATGTCGGTGACGCGCGCCCCGCCCACTGGGTTAGTCTATCTCTTATAAGGTCCATGGTCGTGTATCACGATCCTGTTGTGTCTGAAATGGATCTCGTTTCAAGATTCGTCTGCGCAGCTGCTACAATCAAGGAAACTCCCGGTGTGTTTGAACATGTCCGGCAATAAATGGTCCGTCGGTGTCAGGCATGTTTGGCGTCTTGATGTTGCGAACTTCGTGCATCTGTTGTAACATTCAAGCTGTCGTACACCATTTATATTCATGTCCAATAAATGTTTCAAATTAATTACTCATGTTTCTTTTTCCCATGTTCTACCTCTGCTACCACTTACCTCTGACATTTCCGGGCATGTGTTCCTATGCAATTCTTAATCCTTATCATGTGCTCTACCTTCCCTAGAAGTTTGTCGCAACATTTACGGTACACCCTATATTTCATATTTTGTAAAGCATTTATGAGTTTTTGATTAAGAAACTCAACGATTTCAAAGCGAACAATGTAACAGTGTAGGAAAAAAAAAAAAAAAAAAAAACATTTTTATCTTCAGCGCGCAATACTGTGTATAGGAAATTCTAAAGATATGCTGTTTTAAGTATTTTGTGATATTGCTCTTGAATTGAATTTTAAGTGCGAATAACATGATATTAATAAATAAAGGTAACACGTAAAATGTTAAAAACGCCACTTTGAGGAGTAATATTAAATCTTTTAAAAGCTTTCAGATTTTTTATACTTTTTTTAATGGCCTGAAGAAAAGGGATTTGTGCCAGAGTCGCCGACTAGTTTACTGTTTTGCCTAATTTAAAATTTTATATTAGCGTGTTTTTCCAATTTTCACGTTTTATTCATTGCAACAAAGCTGACATTAAAAAAAATATCCTCTGGATAGTGCAATTTAAAGATATTTTAATTTACATCAGTTAGACGTATTATTAAAGTATAAAATGTAGATTTAAATTCTTAACAATGGCTTTTATTGCTTTTAAATTTTTCATTCAATTGTTCGCTTGTCTGAATGATTCAAGTTGTTTTAATTGTTTAACTCAGAGTGCTTAAACTTGAAAGATAAACTAAAGACTTTGCCCAATGACAAAGACTACTTGGTTCAATGACAACACTCCGAGAATCCACAATACTGAAGAGTACATAGAAGAGATAAATTTAAAGTCATATGTTTGAGCAGCAGCAATATATGCTAAGGCTAGTTCTGGATAGTATTTCCATTCTTTTTATGTGTCAGGTTCGTGAGCATAGGCTTTTATATGTCAAATGAAAGGAATATGCCTTATTCGTTGTGCAAAAAGTTGTTGATGACGACGCTTCATTACAGTTCAGTGACCAAAACAATCTGCCAATTAAAATATAGTTTCAATATGTAATTAGCTAAAATATAATTTTACTTTTTTTTTAAACTTTTCGAATTATTTTTAGTTATAAGGAAAAAAATTGAAATTTCAGTTCCATCGAATGAACGCTGTATTACGGAAATGTGCATTTCAGAAAGAATATATTGTAAATTAGACCCTTCAGCACATAACAAAAATATTTTAAAGTTATTAACTGCACGTTTGAAAAGGAGTTTTGAGGAACGTAAAGTTAGAAGTCATGATATAAACAATTAAATATGAAATGTGGTTTACAAATACCTTTTATTATGAAGGTTCCTGTAAAATAACTTTCTAAGCCTATCTCACTTCGGCAGATATATGTTAGATTAGTTTAGTGAATTTTTTTAACACTTTCTTTCAGCTTAAATTCTTTTAAAATATTTCATACTAGTATGTTTTATGATGGCAAAGAATCATCTTTTGCCTACAATGAATCAAAACATCCGAATGTTTATATAATTAATCTGACGATATAGCAAAAATTCTTAACAATAATAAATTAATTCTTAGAAATTATGTCATGGTTATTTACTCAAATTAATTGGTGTAAATTCCTTTTCTGGACGATAACGCGGCCAGTGCCATAAAATAAAGAACGTTCAGATTAAAAACTTTTACGGCGAAAAAGAAAAAGAAAAATGGCGCTCATTCTGTGAAGCGATCGAGCGTTTCAACAAAAAGCGATATATGTGTCATGGCACACATTTCACCTAACATCGACCGATGCGCCTTATCTTATCTCGGCCAAAACTTTCGGTGACGGTGGCAGCGAAGTGACTGGATTTCAAGCTTTTTCTTGCCTTGAGCACTCGATTCACTCGGTGGGATCAGCTCTGGCTTCCAATTCACTTTACTTATCTCATGTTTTATTCGATCCTAAAATGTCGTCAGGTTTTCTATTTTTATTCACATTAAAAGTCATATTTCATTTATACTCGAGCCATCTTTTCCTCCCTTTTTTTTCTCTCCAATAAAAAAGGAAACTTTATGGGAAAGCAATTCTGTGTCGGATGTTTTGAGCTATCGGCTGAGGTTATATTTTAGTCAGTAACCCATTTGAAACTTACTGCAAAATGTCTCAAGATTTAATTTTTTAGTCCAAAGCGGAAATTTTTCCTGAAGGACTATTAATTTCTTTTTGCATCTTGCGTCGAAAACTTTAAAAGGCTGTATCTCTCTTCAAATCGTTCCCAGCATATATTATTGCCCTGTCTTATATTTAAGGAAATTAAATAATAAAGAATCTGCATAAAAGTATGTATGTTTCTCGCATTGTGATAAAACAACGGTACCTAGAGCCATCAAAATTTGAATAACGTAATCTTCCATAGAATATGGGCATGTAGAAGCCCTAATTTTAATTTGAAATTTATTTTATTATGGATTTCGAAGTCTGTAACGCTTCAATGAATTTTTGATTAAAAAACTAAGCGATTTCAAAGCAAGCAATGGTAACACTGTATGCAAAAATAATAATAATTAAAAAAAAAAAAAAAAAAAAAAATTTTTATTTCCGCGCGAGACCCTGTATGGGAAATTCTAAAGATATGCTAATTTTAAAATTATTTTGCGATATTGCTGTTGAAGTGAATTTTATAGTTTGAGTACGTAGAACATGATATTTAATAAATAAAGGTAACACACAAAACGTTAAAAAACGCCCCTTTGGACGTAATTTAAAATCTGAAACCTTTTTTCTTTTTATATTTATGTCTATAAAAGATTTTTTCTTTCTATATTTTTTTATGTTTTGAATCTTTACTGTCACTTTTCTCTTTCTGTGTTCCTGCCAGAATGCAAATGATTTCGCGTACATTAAAGGGAAGTTTAAAGATTGTTAAGTTAAGAGTATGTTCTGCCTCTTGAAGACTATGTTACTGCGTTTGGTATTTTAAAACAAGAGTTCCAGTCTTCAGCCTTGCATTATACTTGCCAATAGTCAAATTCATCTTGGTGAAGTCTGAGCCAACTTTGTGTTAAATTACTCTGTGTAGCCTTTGGTAATTAGTTATTAGTCCAAAGGAGGTTTGTCTCTGAAGGACTATTGTTTTCGTTCTGCGATTTTGCGTTGAAAACTTTAAAAAGCTGTATCACTTTTCAAATCGTTGCCACCAAATGCTATCGCCCTGTATTATATTTTGAAGGAATTAAATAATGAAGAATCTGCTTAAATGTATATATGTTTCTCGCATTGTGATAAAACAACGGTACCTAGAGCCAACCAATTTTGAATGATGTAATCCTACTGCGAATATGGGCATCTGAAAGCCCAAATTTGAAATTTGGAATTTGTTTTATGATCGACTTCATATTTTGTAAAACTTTAACGAATTTTTGAGTAGGAAACTCAACGATTTAAAAGCGACCAATGGCAACACTCTACGGCGGGGGGAAAAAAACCTTTTTATCTTCTGCGAGCGCGGAACTGTGTATCGGAAATTCTAAAGATATGCTCATTTAAAAATTATTTTGCGACATTGCTGTTGAACTGAATTTTATGGTTTAAGAGCAAAGAACATGATATTTAATAAAATAAAGGTAACACACAAAACGTTAAAAAAAAAACGCCCTAAAAACTGAAACCTTTCAGATTTTTTAAAAAAAATTAGCTTTACATTTGAATTTTTGCTTTGAGTTCACGCCATAAATGCTGGTAGCCTTGTAAGCATCAGGTGTGCCTTCTGTTTAACTTCTTAATTTGAAATAGAGGGTCTTTTACACCTTCCTGGAATTTCTGGAGGGCTTCAGACGTAGCAATAAGAATCTACCAAAAGGTTGGTCGCGATTTCCAATATACAATTTTTGATGTTTTTTTAAAATTTTTTTAATTTTATTTATTTAAAAGGGCTATTAGTCTTAAAATACGATTTTGTCTTCATTCACTTTAAATGCGTTGTTCCACTCTTCATTCGAGTCCGTTGTCTTTTGGAAAAATATAAGATATTAATCTTTCAGGCTGAATTTGTCTGTTATTGATTAATTTGTCTGTTATTGCTTTTAAACTGGGCTATATTTAAAAACAAGGGTTAAGAGTATTATTTTATTCAGTGTTAAGAATATTATTTTTTTATTTTTTAATCCGATTGATTTAAATAAAAATGCATTTACCTGATGTTGTATCGAATTAAAAAATTCGATATTTTATTAACTGCATCACACATTTTTTCACTTTTCAGATAAACAGAAAATATAATACGTTCATGTTACTCTAAATCAGAGGTTTCTCAAGAATCGGAATCGACCCCCTGAGGGTCGATAAAATTTTAAAGGGATTAAGTGATGTTTATGAATAAATACTGCATGCCAATTACAGGAACACAATATTTGGCCATTTATATTTCCATCTTCTATTCATACAGTTTTTTAGAAGTGAGAAAGTGTTCATAAAGCAATAAAAGAGAGAAAAGGAAGTAAAAATGGAAGTAGCTCAAAAAAGTTTGAAATATTTATTAAATAAACTACACTGAGTATACCATGTTCTGAAACTTATAATAATGCGAATGTAATCATTGCCATTTGTGATATTTGCTTTTATCTCCTTTAGGAATCGCCCGTGGATTGGTTCCCAATATCAAGAGATTGCCTCGTTTACATATTTTCTGTAACAACTCTTATTTGTATAATTCAAGACAATATTGTAACCAGGTAGGTTTATAGCTTTGTATTAAATTATTCTTACAAGTTTGTCTATACAACGATACTCATAAGGAGTTATTTCTTTGATGATGGCGAGTTAACACTCTGAACTATTCATGAGTTTCATATGTAGGAGTTTATATTAATTAACCACTTACCTAATTATTTTGCCTTTACTATCTTTCATATTTCCCACCAGGCTGCAAATTAGTAAATGTATTTGAGCACAGATTTCTTGAGCTTGAGAAAGAGACTTCGCCAACTATCGCTCATCTATCACGCTGCTAAATTGTTCTTCTACTGAACTGCTTACTTAGCTTTAGATTCACAAGCCGTATTGCTTTATGGGAATATTGACGTCTAATGAAAAGGTTCTTGCAACGTTGGAGCATTTTTCAACGGTTTCCCACAAGTGGCGGCTTTTGCTTTTATGCCATTAAAGAGCTTCGCTGATGAGTGAATGAAATGTTTAATTTAAACTTCGACTGAGTCTGTATTTACTGCACTTTGAAAATAACATAAGGCGAGTCATCTGTCTGTATTTATGTTTCTAGGTGTTGAGATTTAGAGTACTGTGGAACCGTACTCGTACATAGAACGATTAAAACTAAACAATACTTTATTTAATCACTCCTGGTAGATTAAGACTTAATTTAAAATATTCAGAGCAAAACAATCGTTAACCTGTTGAAGGTATTTTGACAAAATTGGGGCAAACTGGTTTTGGCGTATCAAATTTCCAAGCGCAAATGCCTCGCAAATATCGCATCTGCTTCTTTCTGCTGACACCATCGAGAGTTCTGCCAGTTAAGCACTTAAAAACACTTATCAATTAGCACAACCAATGGCCACAACAGTTTGGAAAGTAGTACTCGTTCGTTCCTTCCTTCATGATAACCTCCGACCGATCTCAGCGACGGGTTTAATATTCTCCAAAAGCAGTACATTTTATTTCCTTGATACAAAAAACAACGTTAATATCGCCATATCAGAGTGATTTCTGTAAAAGAAAGACGACTATCGATAATGTACTAAACTATCTCTAATGAAACATCACTCCAGTAGAGGCGAGATCATTTGTCTCTTCGTCAATATTTCAATATATTATTTCAGTATGACCATCCGTGTTAGCTGCTTTTCCCCTGCACTGAAATGCAGGCGCATTATGTGACACTAGAACATCTATTAAAAAAAAATGCGTGATACTGTTTCATTCCAAAAACATTCAAATCCCATCAGCGAGGAAAGTCATGTATAAACTTTTAGCGCCCACAGACGTCCGCTTAACTGCATCACACATCACACATTATTTCCTTTCCAAGTGAGAAACGGTGAATTGTCAGTTACTCTGATGAAGTTATTGCCTCTAGGTCGTTTTTTTAAAATGACCTAGTGGCAGTTAGGCGTATTATGCTGCACAATAATACCAGGACCACGAAATATAAGTCTTTATACTTCTTTTTGATTAGGACATTCTTAGCCTGCAGAGGCCAGGACATGTTACGGTGTTGCAATAGGAACTGCTGGGCCGTGTAACTATACTTTCCACTCGGCACCTAATGATTTATTTTCATCTGTTTCTTTTTTTTTTTTTTTTTTTTTTGCTTATTACGTGCTCTGCCCTTAGGTGCTACACGGAAAGGAAGGGATGCCCCGTGGAGGTCTTTTTTAAAGGAAATTGGCTCGTATCCACGTTATACAAGGGGAAAACCACGAAAACGCCCATGTAGCCAGCTCGTTCACCGGGACTCGAACCCCTGACCGAACTACCAGTGTTCAGCGGCTTTTACCACTCGGCCGCTGGTGGGCCTCATCTGTTTCATTTAAGATAGCAGAAATTCACAAGCCACAACGAAGTTCAATAAACCGACAAGGCGTGCTTTCAGGCATATGACACTGATATATTTTGCTTTGGCTAAATGCTTTGATGCACCGTTGAGACAAATGTTTAGACTGTATAAACGTACGCAATGGAAAAATTTGTTATTTTTTATAATCAGACTTTTAAATTTGCATAAATTTCAAATCAGGAAGCTATGAAAATTTCAACGCATGCAGATATTTTGAAAGTAGGATGTTAACCTTAATGGTGGTCTATTGAAGCTTTCGCTCCATCTCTCCTTTCTCAATTAAAATCATTTCTTTCTATATCAGTGGATGTCCTAAGCAGACAAAGAGCTATGCTGCTGATCAGTAATATTTATGAGATTAGAAGTAGTATAGAAAGACCAGATGTTTAGTTTGTAAACTTAGAACTTCGTTTTGTAAATAACCGAAATTTTAGCTACAGGCAAACAACTTCATCTTTGTAATAATTTTATACGAAGATCTCATTTTAGTTTGCATTTTTTAATTTATTTAAAGTTAGATAACTGTTAAGGGCGATAATTTCGTCAATAGGTTGAATTTAACATATTAGTCATCAGGTTGAGTGTGCGTTTTCAATTAATTTCATAACACAGAATCTATAAACTCTTTTTTACTGTTTTTAAAGTTAAAGATTGCATAAATGTTTTCTTTATACAAAAAAAAAAAAAAAAAAAAAAAAAAAAAAAAAGACATGTTTCAAAGCATTTTTTGTATAATAGAATAATTTTACGACTTTTATAATCTAAAAGCTTGAATACATTATTGTCAACTGTATTTTAATTAGTCTACAATAGTTTGAACGTTAATATTCCTTTTTCTTACCCCACAGCCTTGAATCCGTCTTGCTGCTAATGATGTTCGCAGTTTACATAACAGTGATGTACTTTAATTCTAGCATCAAAGAATGGGGTGAAGGCACAGTAAGTTATACTAAAAATAAAATTCTACTCAGTATTTAAGTGTTTAATTTTTGTGTTAATTAGTCTATCTCCTCATTATTTGATCGATACTATCACTTCTACTTTTTGTCAGCTCTTACCAAGACGCAAATTACATACTTGAACAGAGAGAACTTTTGCAATTTAGAGGACAAACTTTGGCAATGACCCTGACTGTTGCGATATTTCCTCGTCCATTTCTGTGGATAGCTTAGACCGACGTTAGCTGTTTGCTAACCGAGTTCAGCTTAGAGTTGAGCCAATGTTTGTTACGTTTTTGCATTTGTCAGTCTCCAGAGTTAAGTTACTTTCGGGGTTTAACTCACCTTTTGCGTTAGCTGAATACCGTAAGCTGCGGAGATAAATCCTGTAAGCATAAGTAACGCCTATTTTAAATTCAAAATTTTACATAAGATTTGTTTAAACCTTCTTCTGAGTGTATAGTTGCTTTATTAGATGGGGAGATCGATCGCTTATCAGTTTCAATAGGGATCAAAGTTTAAGGACTATTAACCTAAAAGTGCTACCCATGTTGTTACCCAAATGACATTGCTAAAACTTTTACTGCCCGGAGTGGTCTCTGATTTTGCTGCCTTGGACGATCCCTGGATAGGACGCCTCTTTTGATATGCGAATAAAGAACTAAAAAAATTTCAAAATGGCATGTGGGGAAATAAAATTAAACTCTGATTATTTATGAAGAAATATTTTAATTACAACATTTTAAAATTATACTAATATTTTACTTGCTTTCTGTTCTCAAAACCGTCAATGACATTGTTGAGATCTACTTGATTGCTCCAATTGCTGTAAAGTAGGCAGTACAGGAAGATTTCTTATAAACATGTATGGCTGTAAAATAATCTCTAAATGGTTCTTATTTAGAAAACTCTTCTCGCAACTAGCAGTACTTACAGCAGTTGTGAGGAAAGTTCACAATAGTATTACAATATTTTGCGTCTTTGTTCTGGAAATTGGATTTTATAATAAAATGCAGAAGTTCAAAAGGATATCCATGCCACGCTTCTTTTTCTTTTCTATGACAATAACTAAAATTCAATTATTGAAATACTTCTCTCTTAACGAGGAGCATTGTTAATGTCACTGTGATAATAATTTAGTTGGCATTCGCAATTTTATTTCAAAAGTTTTGATGGAGTAATAATAGTATAACAAGGGTAGCTGTTGGAATCTCGTGGCGATTTCTTTGAATACATAACATCTTTAATCTTTTTTAAAATTCCTTTTCAACTTAAAAACTCTTTTAAAAAATTAAAAATTCTTTTTTCCCTTAATTTAATTAGGTGTGCAATTCTCATTCTTCTTAGAGTGTCTCGACCATCTCCATGATTGACCCCTATAAAATAATGTTTCAAGCGAAAAATACCGATTACCACCCACTTATCATGATACAACACTACCAGACACCCACTTGTATTTAGCCTCTCCATGCGCGCGGCTTTCTTGGTTTTCTTTCTTCTTGTGACGCTAGTCACTCTCCTTTTCCCATTCCCGACGCTTTCTCACTGCCCGACCAGACTGTTCAACTTCTTGTGCCCTATTGGGATACTTAATCATAGAGCCGGCATAAGAGTATTAAAAAAAAAAAAAAAAAAACACCGATTCCAAAAAGCCGATTTCCTCTAGTTGGGGGTGATCAAATACCGATCCCCTTTAGTTAAACCTCTAATGTTATCTTAAGAAACAAAGAAAATTTATTTTTATCTAAATATAATTTTCAAAAGAAATAATTTACAAGACTTGAAGAACAGCGCTCACAGAATTAGGAAATAAAAATCATTATTTTATGTGACGTTTTCATTATCAATTCATAATGATTTCAATAAAAAATTATTTTAAAATAACTTTAAAAGTTGAAATTTTGCTACAGAATAAGAAAATATTTATCATTTGTCTTCATAATATTTTAAATTTCTGTTTTCTCTGATCTCTTTGTAGCTTTCTAATAGAATAAAAAGGCAAATTTTCTATTAATATGAATAAGATGTGAAGCGAATGTAAATTATTTAAGTGGGGTAGACATATTTTTAATGAATAATTCTTAAAATATTACACGTCCATCATTTTAAGGATAATAAATCAGTCAATCTTGAAAACAACGTTTTATTTTCCAGAATTGCAACCTTATCATCTGTACTACGAGTTTTAATCTAAACATTATTACTAATGTGCTGAACAATTACTTACTTTCCCATTTATTAATATTTCATCATAATCTGTAATAGCTTACATTTTATCCGTTATTAATCACTGATCTGATTGCTTTTGAATTATAGTGTCGAAACTTGATCTACAAAAATTTGCTTTATATGTTCAGGTTTTAAACTGAAAAAGTTTAAAATTTTAGTAACTAGTGATAATCCTAAATAATAAAAAGTATTGCTAGTTATACTGGAAATGATAATGAAAATTTAGAAAATAATAAAAATTTGAATCTGAAGGATTTACTGATAATTCTGTTACATTTATAAAACCTTATTATCTAATCTTTAATTTAATAATGATATGGTTCGCATACTTTGTATTGTTGCCTTAATTGTGTAAGTACAGTATTGAGTAAAAAAGGAAGATTAAGTAAAATAAAGAAAACGCAAACAACATGGCTCAACATAAACGAAAAAAATATTTTAAATATCGGTAACAAAAAGTATAATAGAAAGACCAAGCTGAAAAAACACTGCGGTAGTAAAATACACTGCTGCTTGCGGAGTATCAAATCCCGTACTTCTTCAGGAAAAAAATTGTATAAAAAAGGGAAGTTAAAGGAAAGAGTAAATTAGTTAATAAATAACATAACCCTTAAAATCACTGAGTAATTAATGCAGCAAAATATTCAGCTAAAACCGAACTGTAAGTTTTTGAAATACATCCAGAGGTTCTAGTCTGTGGTCTGCGGACTACGAAGTGGTCTTCGAACCCTGTCTTCGGGTCCTCTTTAGATCTCTAAAAACGTTCTCTTTTTTGTAAGTGAAATTAATGGAGATTATTTAAATCATTTCTTTCTGATGAGAACCATACGCCCATGGCCATTTCACCATACGCATCAAGTATTCATTCAATTTGCTTTTACTTAATCTGTGAGAGAATGGGTTTTCATCACTAACTAAAATAAAAACAAAGAACCAAAACAGACTTCATGTATGTGCCAATTCTTAATTAAGTTCCCTAGCATGCATCCAAGCACAGAACAGTTGTACAAAAATCGGAAAGCTCATCCATCTCATTAATGTGAGTACCAATTTATTTAATTTTTAGTTAATAAAGTACAGAATATCCGAAATTTAATAATCTTGAATTATTAAAAGCGAATATAAATGTTCTCCTGTTGACTTAGTTGTTTAATACCAGTATAAAATTAAATATATCTTAATTAAATATTTTTTAAAAATATAAGTACACTAGTAGTAATATGTATTAAACAAATTGCTTTCGAATGGGATAAGAGTAAAATGATCCACAGAACATTCTAAGTTACAAAAGTGGTTTCCAATTAAAAAGAGTTTTATAAACGCCGTGTTAAGCAAAAATGGAATTGAAGAATGTCAGGTTCATTTTTGCCGTCCGGCTCATATGACCGTAACCTCCCATATGCGTTTACAATCACGGCTCCTAAAGAAATTAAGCAATCAAATCCTAAGACTGTTTATTAAGAGGTATGGACATGTAGCACATAGATTTCACTCTCGTACCACGACACCATACATCATATGCCATACGATGTGATAACCAACTCATATCTCGTTTCTATGATTTGGATTTCATGCTCTAATTTTCAGTTATATGATGAAATAACAACATTTATCTTTTGATATATTAATTTATTATCTCAGAATATCCATTCATTTAGAATTTTTGTACAGCAGATAAGCGGAACTTGCAGTATTGTTTTCAAAGGAACGTTCTAACCCATTGTATCAACAGCAAGAGGCGTAGTTCTGACTTTTCTCTTTGTTCTATACTTGGAAATAAACGCCTGCATCTTGTCTTCTGGGCGTTTCGAATTTTGGTACAAAGCCATTTGTACAAATAGTCATCTATACTCCGCTTCAGTAGTTTGTAGGCTGCTCTGTAAGGGCTGTTTCATGTTACTAGACCGATTATTGATTTTCTGAGTAAAATGCAGTATGTTCGCACTTAAAATTAAATTTTAAACCACTATAAAAATTACTAGTTACTAAAGGACATTTTGTGTGATTTCTTTCCAAAAAATTTGCTTGTGCACAGTGACATAGCTAAAAGAGGGAGGCACATTTGGGAGGGTTCGCGTTAAACATTATTTTATAGGATTTAGTCATGTGTCTGGTTGGGGCATGTTAAAAATAACGAGATTTTGAACTGCAAAAAAAAGTTTTACCTCGAAGTCAATTACTCAAAATATTCATCATTAGATTTCAAACGCTTCTTGCTATTACTATTTATTCCTCTTTTATTCTGTCAAAATTTTTAAATGAAAATTACGAATATCATCTAAATTATAATTATGATGAAACTAATAAAAATTCGCCATTCATAGTTTTATTTCCATCATTGCTAGAGAAAATGGAACGGGAACGTGGAAGGGTGATCCTTTTGAACTTCTGCAGTTTATTCTAAAATCCAGCCTCCAGAGCAAAGGTGCAAGATATTGTAATACTACTGCGAATTTTCTTCATAATTGCTGTAAGTGAGTTGTGAGAAGAGTATTCTAAATAAAAATCATTTAGAGAGCATTTTAGTGCTATAAATGTTTATTTTGCATTAAAAAAATCTCTCTGCACTATCTGGAGGAATCAAGTAGATTTTTACGATGTCATCGATGTTCTTAAGAAGAAAGAAAGAAAAAGAAAATGAATAATGCATTTTAAAATGCTGGAATTAAAATTGTTCTTCAAAAATAAACATAGTTTAAATTTATTTCCCTATGTATCATTCTGCGATATTTTTTAGTTATTTGTTTGTATATGAAGAAAGGCGGGAAAATC